TATTATAATTTAAATAGTAATCTTAGGTATAAGAGTCCTAAGATACTCGTAATAAACGGTACTCCTTTAGATTACGTAATAAAGGAATTCCTTATTACTAAGCTCTTATAAGAATCCTAAAATACTTATAAGTAAAATAATACTTTTATAATTACTTATAAAACGTAATCGATAAGCTTATATATAGTAAATATACTATTTATAGGATCGATCTTAACTTCTCTAGCTCTAACTATTCTATATTACGTTAAACGTAATACTAATTAGTATTAAGAGGGCTTTATTATTTATATAAACCCTAATTTATTACTTTAGCTATACCTAAGAGCTCTAAATACGTAAAGTAAGTAATATATATCTTCTATCCCCTTTTTTCCTATCTCTATAGATTATAATTACCCTCGTAAAGTAGATATACCTATTTAATTCACTGATCACGTAAGCTATAATTCACGTACTCTTAAGAGCTATGAATCCGCGGCCACGGTGATCACTAGGTCGGTAATCCCTCATCGGGATCACCGCCCTAGTGAATTCCCTAATATTAGTTCAACAACCACACTTAAACCCCTATCTCATATGTAATTCTTGTTGATTCTAATTCTGTGTTATATAGTAAAGAGCCGCCTGCTTGAATCTTATCTCATACAGTGCTATCAAGCGATGTTACATAATTGGCCCAGACGCCAATTCCGCTATTATATCTGGAGCACCCAGTCTGTACTGTTGTACCTGAGGTCGTTCTCATGTTCAAAGGGATGGCTCGAAACAATCATGACCTAGCCTCGAAGCCGCAATGAAGCGTCAGGCGGCTACGCCAGAAGAAATTACATGGATAAACGTCTAAACGCCGAAGAGCTTCAGTGGGGCCACGACCAACCACCCTAGAACAAGGACATCCAGTGCCTTGGCCACCTGCGTCGAGTCTTCAATGGCGCGATTGTACTCCTCGAGCATGGGAATCTTGGCCTTGGTGTTCCAGTACGAGCGCATGTAGAGGCTGATGCCGTACGAGCCGGCGGCGAGGACGAGAGCCCAGGCGGTGTTGCGGAAGACAAGCTTGCTAGGGGTGAAGAGCACGAAGCTCAGGCCGTTGTAGAGTGAGAAGAGGGACTGTTCGAGGCGTGTCAGCCACTCTGCACGCTGTGCAGATGAAATCACGAAGGATGCGACCGCAACGTACAAAGATGAAGCCGGCGCCAACGGTGTAGCGGGTATCCCAGAGCTGCTTCTTGGCGGTGCTGCTCCATTCGGCAGCCTTCTCGGCTGTCTGCTCATACTTTTGAAGCTTCGGGATGGACTGAGCCGAAAAGTAGACGGCGTAGCCGCTGGCTGCCGTGACCAGGAGGGTAACGATGTTGGAGATGAGGACCATTTTGCTTGCGTTAGAAGATAATTATTCGTCTTTGATGAATTGTTGGCGACGTGAAGCTGACGCGCCAATGTTTTGCGAGCCTGTGCGTTTTAACGGGAAGGAACTCGTGAAGAGACGATGATGTCATGCGCCGTTGTGACAGCTCACAGACACGTGCTAAAGCCGGATGACGATGGTCATGCACTCGCTTCACCACTGGTTAGTCTGATTGAAGTGTCGTGGCCCGATCTGGCATGTCCAGGTTCATCGCGTCTGCTGACGGCATCGTAGCAGCTGGTATCGAGCTTGCGGCGGAAACGCCATGATCCATCGCGCATTCCAAACGCGCTCCGTTGAGGCCATGGCTTTTGGTGGGCGGCCGACAACGAGGGGCACCTCCATCCATCTGTACGCGCTCGGCGCTCGGAGGATGATCGAATCCATCGGAGAATACTACTCCCGAGTGCACCTCGATTGACCGACCGTGTCACGCGAGCATAGGTACTCTGACGAATGCCCTCGAACCCAGTGCTCCCACGATGGGATGAGGGCCCGGTCAATCGCCAAGCACTCTTGTCATCAAAATAAGCTCATGAGCCGAACTCCGGGTTACAGATCAACGACGATTGATCCCCACCCATCCCTCCATCATGATGCCACGCATCCGAGAGAGAGGGAGAGAGAGAGAGAGCTTACATGTACATGATGAATCAATTTCGAGTTAGCATCGTCAAATGGATCGAAGGCTTGGTATTCCCGCGGAGGAGGAGACACAGGGGGTGGCTATGCCAGGTGAGCGGCGGGCACTAGGCGCCTTGAGGCAAGGAATCGCAGAGGGAAAACAAGACTTTTCAGCTGGAGGGTTCACCTGGCAGATGCGGAGGCGAGGTCAAACATGGGTCTCTGCTGCTCGAGCTCAAGGCACGTCACACCTGTGGACTGCTGTGGCCGCGCTATAGGCTTGAAATGCGGGGCTTGGCACCCTGACATGGACAGAGCCTGGTCAGTGAACATGCCCAAGATGCCCACCTGGGCAAGGTGCCTGCCCGAGATGCCCCTGCCTTGGTCTGACCTGCCCTGAACAACCAATGCGAGGAGGCTGGAACTGGAACATCGAGGCAGGACCAGCCCCGCGTTTGCCTGCCTGCCTGCCTGCCACCTGAGGTCCTTCCTGTGGTCCTGAGGTTCGGAGATCGAGGCAGTTAGGTACATGTCACGATGTACTCGTGCACCGCCACTGCCATTTAAAGACGATGGGGAGCTTTCCCCGCGCGTGCACTGCGCGGGCAGCACCTCTCTGCTCTCTTGCTCTGTGCTTCTTGCCTGCTCCGCCAGTCAGTCGCCCATCGACTCGATTCACTCTCTCGTGACCTATGTCGCGTTTGTGATCCCGCCATTGCGATCCATTGCCCTCGACCGACCCAATTGATCCATCGATAATTGACGAGACCCCGAACCACCACCGCCCACCATGTCGAACGGCCGCGGGTCCGAGCAGACGCCTCTGCTTCCCAGCCTCAACGTCGAAATCGCCCACGAAGGCGAGAGCGGCCGACAGGGTTTCCACATCAACCACTTCCTCGCCGTCCTCTGGCGCAGCTCGTGCACCGCTTCGAAGCTCGTCAACGTGCTCTGGCCTGTCGTCCCCGTTGCCCTCATCCTGCAGTTCTTCCCGGGACTGCACATCTGGAAGTTTGTCATTGCGTACATCGCCGTCATCCCTTCTGCCAACCTGCTGGGCTTTGCAGGCCAGGAGTTCGCGCGTAAGCTGCCCAAGGTCGCCGGCATCCTGATTGAGACGACATTCGGATCCATCATTGAGATTATTCTTTTCGTCGTCCTCATCGTCAAGCACGACGCGAGCGACCCCGAAGACAATGGCGACGAGGGTAACCTTGTCCCCATCATCCAGGCCGCCATTCTCGGCAGCATCCTGACGAACCTGCTCCTCTGCCTCGGTCTGTGCTTCTTCTTTGGCGGCCTGCGCGAGGCCACACAAAAGTTCCACAGCATCGTCTCCGAGGTCGGCAGCGGCCTCCTGCTCGTTGCCGCCTTCGGTCTCCTCATCCCGAGCGCCTTCTACTCGGCCCTCAAGTCTGAGGTCGTCCCGCTGCTGCCGGGCCTGCCAGGACCTCACGAGCCCTTCACCGAGCGAAAGCTCGAGGACGACGTGCTGAGCATCAGTCAGGCCACCTCCATCGCCCTCATCGTTGCCTTTTTCCTGTACATCTGGTACCAGGCCAGCAGCCAGCACAGCATCTTCGACGAGGTCATCGAGGCTGACGAGCACCGGGATGCGGATCGCGAAGCCGATGCCGAGAAGCCCAAGTTCACCATGACCGAGGCCCTCATCGCCATTACTATTGCCCTTGTGTTCGTGACGCTGCTCCTCATCTTCCTCGTCGAGGAGATTGAGCACGTCGTGGAGGCTGGCGTGCCCGACCAGTTCTTGGGTCTGATCCTGTTGCCTCTGGTCGAGAAGGCCGCTGAGCATCTGACGGCGATTGACGAGGCCTGGGGTGCGTTTTTCTTTCCCCCATGATCCTGCAGAACAGTACTGACGACTTTTCCAGACGGCGCCATCAACGTGGCTCTCTATCACTGCCTCGGCCCCTCGATTCAGACTGCCCTATTCAACGGCCCGCTTGTCGTCATTGTCGGCTGGGCCCTGGGTAAGCCCATGGACCTCAACTTTGAGATCTTCATGATTGCTCTGCTTGTCCTGTCGATCCTCGTCGTCGGCAACTTCCTTCGCGACGGCGAGTCTAACTGGCTCGAAGGCGCGCTGCTTGTGGTATGTTATTTTAGTGGTTGCTGGACCGATGACCTGCAGAAGCTGATATTGGCCCACAGATTGTCTACGTCATCATCGCATGCCTGCTGGTACTACCTAACCGACGTCGCGGACTCGAACGGCCTGCAGCCACGGAGCTGGTTAATGTAACCATGAGCGTCGACCAGCTGAAGCAGCTGCAGCAGCTTCTCACGCCAAGCTCGAGTAAGAGCCCTCTTGGTTATCTCCAATCGAGCACGATTCGCCTCGCGACTGTCCGCGGAGACTAGTCTCAAACCTTGTGTCGTTGTTGTGTAAATTCTGGAGGGGATGGGTGTCAGGGTATGACAAGAGCACAAAATTGGCCATGCTAGCATATCTTCAGGTTGGGTTTTCCGTCACTTTACTCACTATCTGACTATATCTGTACCATTGTTAGCTACGAATACAAGCATCACGTCATATTGGAACACCGCAAGAACACAATTGATCACCCGTTTGGGAAAGGCATGGAAGAGATGCAGAGTCTGGCGTGGCTTGACAGATAGGTATAGTACTTCATTATCGTCTAACTCGAGTAACACACCGGCCTACCAGGCACACACACAAGAGCTGCCAGTCTCGCATCAAACTACACATCCTGTACACGGGCGGCACGCTTATTCCTCGCACGTGTCGTCAGTCTCGGAGGGCTGGGGGGCGCTCGAGACGGCGCTCGAGACGGGGGGCTCGACAGTGGTCGTGGCGACGGCGGTCGAGGTGATGGTCGTCGTGGCGCCGGTCGGGGTGGGCAGGCACGAGCAAGCGGAGGAGACGCGGGAGATGACGTTCTGGCCGCAGGCGGACGAGGCGTAGCTGGGGACGACCTTGACGTCAGCCTCCCAGCCGTCGAGGAAGCCGGCGCAGAACTCCTGCGATTCCTCGAGGCGGCCGGCGACCGAGTTGGCGCCGCAGGGCGCGCAGGCAGTTGTCGGCGTTGCACGTCTTGGGCTTGCACTTCTCGCGCTTGGTCACCTTGACGAGGTAGCCGCCGCGCTCGATGGTGTTGATCCAGACGTAGCCCGAGGGGAACTCGGCGTACGAGGACCACGAGCCGACAAAGGCCGGGTTGCCGCCGCCGGGGGCCGAGTCGTCCTCGGGGTAAATGTCAAAGTAGGCGACCTCGCAGACCGAGTCGCCGGTGGGGTCCTCGGGGATGGACGACACGTCGTAGACGCGCAGGCCGGCGCCGTAGTTGGACTGGTAGACGAGGCCGTCGTACTTGTTGACGTACTGGTTGTGGTCGACGGAGCGGACCGTGCCCTTGTAGAGACCCGTCTGCTTGGGCGCCTCGAGGTCCGAGATGTCCCAGATGTAGGTGACGGGGTAGCCGTCGATGGCGGGCCCGACGTGGGGGCCGGTGCGGCCGACCTCATCGTACTCGTCGTCGAGGATCAGGTACTGCTGCCACTTCTTGTCAAGGACGGCGCCCTGGTGGGTGTACTGGACGCCCGTGTAGCTGGTGATCGAGACGATCAGGGGCTTGGACTTGTCGGTGACGTCGTAGATGGTCAGCGAGTCCTCGTTGTAGGCGTAGCAGATGTCGCGGCCGTCGTAGCGCGAGTCGGGGCCACGGTAGATGAGGCACTCAGCCTGCGAAGGGGGGTTAGCAAGACGGCAATCACAGCAGCCTAGGGGGCGAGGTGACTCACGTCGTGGACGTAGCCGTCGTCCTTGGCAATGCCGAGCTTGACGGGCTTGGAGGGGTCCTTCAAGTCGAAGAAGATGAAGCCGCCGAGGGCGCTCTCGTTGCGCGGGCGCGAGCCGACCGAGGCGCCGTAGCCGGCCTCCTCGTTGATGACGACGTTGTGAGACGAGCCGATGGGCAGGTCGTTGAACCAACCGGTGAGGTCGGCCTTGCCGAAGCGGACGGGCTTGTCGCCAGCCTTGAGCTCAATGTCGAGCAGCTTGGTGAGGTCGAAGATCTGGACGCCGTGGCCCTCGAGCTCGGAGCCGACGACAATGTAGTTCTTGTAGCGGCGGACCTCCTTCCACAGGGAGCGCGCGGCGGCGGGCACGACGGCCGGCAGGAAGCCGAGCACCTTGATCTTGCCCTCGGGCAGGATCTCGATGAACGAGGTGCCGTCGTACTGGCCGTTGGCGACGAACTCACGGCCCGACTCCTCGTGGACCCAGCCCCACGAGCCCGAGCCGGTGCGGAGCTGCACGTCCGAGCCGGGGGAGCCGAGCTCGGCGTGGTTGACAAAGTCGTAGAGGTCGATGTTCTTGCACCGGAAGGTGTGGAGGGGGTCCCCCTTGACGGCCTCGGCCTTGCCGTTGACACACTTGGTGTAGTTGAGGCGGGGCCACTTGGTCGAGTCGAGCAGACCGGCGGCCTGTTCGCCCTGCCAGAAGGAGAGCTTCTCGGCCATGATGTGCTCGTGGAGCGCGCCATTGTCGTAGAACTCTGTGTCGAGGGTTAGTCTCGCAGGCCCATAAGAAGCTGACCACACCAGAGGCACCACAAGAGAGGCAGTCTCTTACCAGCAGCGAGGGCCTCGTCCTTGGCAATCTCCTTGCCGATGACGGCAGAGGCAGCGGTCAGGACCGCGCCAGCAATGGTGTTGTAGCGCATGGTGAGGGTTGAGGGTTGACCTTGCGGAGGGCTTGTCTGGTGGTCGGAGGGGGTGAGGGGGCAAGAGCAGCGCGAGATTCGAGGAGCGCAGATCCTCCGATATTTATGAGAAAGCTCTCCTTCCCTCCGCTTGGCTGGTGATGCCTAGAAACGGGAGGGGGGGGGGGTGTGGGAAGGGGAGGGCTCCATTGCACGCTCATGCCTGTCGGGAGGACCCAGGCGCGAGAAGCTCAATCTGGCAGCTCCCAAGGTGGGATTATCCAAAGTCCCCCGCCCACCCGTCCACCTCCGGTCCTGGGTTTTGCTCTGCGGGTGCCTGTGTGTCTGTGGTGACTGTCTGTTTGTGTGTGTGTGCGTGTGTGTGTTGGGTCGGCGGCGGCGATGTCGACATGGGATATCGCCAAGAATACCACGCCGCTATGGACGGATGGGGTAGGAGGGAAACGGCTTGGCGCGTTAGCTCACATGGTACCACGCATGGGCAGAATCGCATTGGCAAATCAACAGAGGCTTATGTGCGGATGGCTAACTGCTTAGTCTCCGCTCCCCGCCCTGTGCCTGCGTCGCCTCTATTCCGCGTGGAACAACTCGAGAAGGTGGGCGTTTGCGCCATGCCGGCCCTGTCGACATGGCAATGAGGCGGGGGGAGCCCGGCCAGGGCTTGGGGGGGGCGTCGTGGCGAAAGGGGCAAGAGACGAGAGATCACCATGTTCTGGGCCGGCGTTGTTCCCCTCTTCTGCTCTGTTTCCTATGCAGTAGGCAGGGTATGGGGAGGAGGCCGAGATACCCTTGTTTTTAAGCATGATGCCTAGTCTGTGGATCATCATTTTATCAATCAGCACGCCCTTTGGGGTCGCTTGTTGTTCTTCGTCTCCGCTGGGTTGCTATCCCCGGCCTACCCGAGTGTCCTCGAATTTGTTTGTCTACCTCTAGACGACCTGTTGTTGAGTGTTGTGGCACTCATGATGATCTGACTCTTCACAAAGAAATCTGTCTACTCTCCAATACTCGGGTATTCATCGTGAGCCGTGAAACAGCATCATCATTCAGAACAATCACCTGGTCAGTCGAAATAACGCCCAGCCGGTAGACCAGCCGACACCCGACCGACAACCCAGTCGGTCGACTCCTCCAGCGAGCTCGCCATCGCCTCCTCATCGCGACCAATAATGACGTGAGGCTCATCGCGGGTCCCCTTTCCAAGCCGTCGTCGGCCCTCTGCTGCCTCTCGCTCACCTGCCCGTTTTGCCGCTTGAGCGCCACTCCGACGGTTGCCCGCGAATGACGAGATCCCACATCCTGGTGACCGCAATCGAGCTGCCGGAATCTGCTTGGTGCCGATTTGCTGTGCCCGCACTTCGACCCCTGTCGCTGTCATGTGCTGGGGCCGCCCGCCGTCTGTGCAATCTTATCGGTACTGTTTATCTCGAGCTCGACCGATGTCTGCCAGTCGGCATGCAGTGAAAAGTGGGTGTCATGTGTTTGTCTGTGTCCGCCGTCCCAAGTCAACGGCCCTCAAGGTTGGCGGACCTGGAGTTTAGCCGCCTGTCATGTTCGTCGCATCTTTCGGCGTCTCCCCCTCCCCCTTCTTCTGGAAGCGATCGCCAGCGGTTTACTACGCTGTTCACGGCTTCTTTCACCATATTTGCCCCTGAGGACTCATTTGGCATTCTCACTTTCGAGGGCAATGCTACCTGACAAGACCACGGCCTTCGTCAACACTGGCATCTTCAGAAATACGACTACCAGCGCAAAAGGCATCTTGGGCCTTCTCTCAGCGTCGGTTCGACCACGCGATTTCATGCTTCCCTACAACAACTTGTGTAATCATGTCGACTACTCTTCAACAGGCCAGAGAGTCAGAAATGGAAGTGTTCCCCCCTTGCACAAGACTGTACCTGTCCCAATCCCCATACCGGTGAATTACCGTCCACGCTGTAATGAGGCCACTTCGACGGCATAGGAACGGCTGCCGTATCCTTCCTTCGGCGCACGAGGAAAGCTCCCTCTCTTCGCCGCTGACCCCGCGTCTCACGCTGCGCCAGACTTGGCAGGCGGCAGTAAGGTGGCACGGCCCGTAAGAATTTCCGCTTAAGAGGCTGCGCGGCGCAAGCCGTCCAATCGCCGTGGGCAGCATCTGTATCTGCCGGCCGGGCCGTTGTCTTGCGGCGCCTCCACCAGCCGGAGCCCCCGGCCGAAGGTTATCCGGAGGCCCGGTTGCGCTTCTTCCAAGTAAATGCTAACAATTATCGGCCAAGGTGGACCCCGAGCTCCTCTTCTCCATGACACATGGCGCTGCCGTATAGTGACGCCGTATCTTACAGACCTAGTCCAGTGCTTCGTGTTTGTCAGTAATACTTGATGAAACTATTATGGCGCGGCCACCATGAATCTGACAGTATTAGGTTCTTGTTCATGTTGTATCTCTGGATTGGTTCGATTACGGCCGGACAACAGGACTGATATGGCTCTTCCTCAGAATAGCCGACCCTCCGCCGAGTCGCACCAAAGCCTGTCGCTGGAGGTTTTGCCCTGCATGCCGCTCCATCATTAGGTGTCGCCACACCTCCCGCCATTCTCTTCTAGCACAGACACGACATTGAGAATGGTATTGGAAGGCGGAGATGGTGTGCACCTCCTTCCACTCGTTGGCCAACCTTTCGTCAGGGGCCAATGAGATATGCATGAATGTGGTATTCAGCTCCGTAGGAAGACTGCTAAGCCAACTGCTTCCACGTATTCCCGGCTGTTGGATATGTCCGTCACACGTGCTAGTTGGACCTCCTAAGGGGGAAACCAGTGACGGCACCAACGACGCGCAATCAATTCAAGTAGACTCTATGGCTATCTACCTTTGTTGGGAAGATGATTCTGACTCGGAGGGTCACAGACCTGCTTCTGACGCCAGTTCTCACGTCAGTTCCAGTACTTCGTCAAGGTACTCAAGCTTTTCTTACATGTCCAGTAGCCTACACTGGCTGCATGTAAGTGGGAAGAAGGGGAACCGTTGAGCACGTTACACATGCCACTCGGTTGTGCTGCCGTCCTTAATTCGGTTGATAACAGCGACCAGAGCTACTTTGCTTCACAATATAGGCAACACAAGCCAGCAAACGACTTGCATCAGTCTAGTACCATGGTAGTTGAGTACTCGCCGATATGTGGCGAACCTTACCACTTCCCCCCTGCACACGGCTAGCATAACTGACGTCAAACACTTGTTGTCCTGGAACTGGATCGAAGCACTCAAAGTAACACCTGCGATCGCTGACCCGGGTAGCCCACCTTAGGGACCCTCCAAGGCCGACGTCACATCAACCGTTGCAGAAAGACTCTGGGCTGAGTTAAACCTCTCAGAGTGCAGCTCCCCGCCCCGCCAGTCGCCTGGAGCCTTTGTTTGCGCGTTGCTTATCCTTTTACGAATCCCTTCTTCGACCTTAGATTAAGGGATATCGTCACCGGCCGAAACGTGATCCGCAAGCTCCCTCCATTTGTTAATCCCAGTACAGCAACAAATACACTGATGCCCTTCATATGACGATGGAGGTCGTTGGCGCGCCTGAGCTATTTGGTCGCTAGGGAACCAAAACGACCGAGCTAATCGGCCCAGTGAGCACAAGGGCTTCGGTCACAATTTCGAAAAGACGTACACCGACAGCCAAGTCAGCGGCATCATCGGGCATCGTCAAATCATTTTCTTACAATTCTGGGGTTTGGGTTTTGCCGTCCGTCATGAAACGTACAGCTACCTTGCCACGGCGCCGACCCCTTCTTCTTCTGGTGGCAGGGAAGACCTGGACTGAGGTCTATCCGGCGCCCTGTTGTCTCTCTCCACGTCTCCGACTGCTAGCATGCCTGCCACCAAAGTTGCCGTGACAAAGTTGACGATCCGCAGCGAGGGCAAGATGGTGTCCCTCGGGTCGACCATCGAGATCACGACCATGACTGTGCGCAAGCCGATCGAGGTCAGAGAAGTCGTGAAGCAACTCTGGACCTTACAGACGCCCAAACTCGTGCCTACCATTACAATGGTCTGCTCCAGTCGCTGCCGATGGTGGAAGATGTGGCGGCCGCAATCCTCCGTTGGGAGAAAGAGAACCAGAAGGGCCTGGCAAAGTTGGCCGTACTCACCCGGTCAGCTTGTCAACGTGGCCAGTGAACTCGGGGGCGAGGTCGTTATGAGCTACGGTGATAGGAGGGCAAGCTCGTAGTTCGCAAGGGCGATGGAAACGAAACACTACCGGACGATCTTTCGATCCACTGAGACGGCACGCCAGCTCAACACAATGGTGCGTTTGGTGAGCCCTTCCTCACTCGGGTATGTTCAAGGGTCACCAAACAATGACCATGCAGGCGATGACGGCAGAGACCACGACGGACTCAGTCCAACAAGCCGGTGCTGATCCTGGATATGTACCGAGCCAGACAATGCCAAAGCTCGCCAGCGTGCTTTTTTCTCGACATTGTTGTACACGGCGTGCAAACCGGATTGTCCCACATCTTCTGCCGCTTCCCCTGGTATCTGGCCGACTTCGGTATCCTGTGCTACAGCCTCACTCCACACGGCGCTGACGTGGCCAAGCAGAGACGTGTTCAGGGCGTGGTGACGGGCTTGAAGAGTGGCGACGACGATAACGACCACGGGTCGCGAACAAGCAGCCCGCGATGCTGCGTTCGTCTTGGTCCATCTGTTCGTCCTCGGAGAATTCACGTCGCCATTCCTCGATGCTGCAACGGCTGCGCTGTATCGTTTCCCACGACCGGCAGTTCGGGTATGGAAACCCGTGACATGGTCCGCGAGGCGTTGGAGTCGAACTTGATGGTATCGTGTAAACAGAGGGTGGGCTAGGAGATGTAGGGTTCTGGGATTGATTCGGACTGGTCGGACTGAGCGACTCGCCCAAACGCACTCCTGCAAGAGGATGTCTAGTCTGACGGCGCCCATGCTCGACAGCTCACGGAGCATCTCGGACCGCAGTCGATTCCGTCGATCTCTCATGCTGACAGCCAACGACGTTGGGTTCGAATCCCCCGACCCAATGCATGAAGATGGCGAACGGGTCCCTCGGCGAATCCGCTATCCCCGAGCGGCGGCGGGAAAATCTCCTGGTGACTGAACGAAACGCAATGCATCGTCCGATCTACGGACGCTACCAAGCAGCCAGACGAATGGCCTTGAAAAACACCACGCGCATTGCACAGCAAAATGGAGCTCGCCAAATGGCAGGTCGGAACCGAGGAGGGGGCTGACTCACTCACCGGGGACAGGGGCCGGCCAGGCTTTCCTCCCACTGAGAAACTGAGAAGCTGCTGAAGGCCACTGGAGAGGGGGGCGGGGGGGGGGCGGGCTGAACCCAATCAACCCCCGCAGCCCTACCACCACGAACCCATACGGCACCAAGTCGCGAGCGGCATTGGGCGTCGAACCTGCCCTGCCGTTAGCCTCGCAGCCAAAATGCGCGCGCTGTCACGGCAAGCACGGGTGCCTTGTCCTCCAGCGCGTCGACTCATTGGACGCCACATGGCCCATCACCTGATGACGTCGAACAACCTGCACTACTTGGAGGGTAGCTCGATCAGGTTGGGTGGTGGCCTGACCCACACGCCTGCCGCGAAACCGAGCCTGCCCGCCGCACCTGCCCGCCTACCACCTGCTTCCCGCTTCCTGCCACATGCTTCCTGCCTACTATTCGAATCTTACGATGAATGGTGACAGGAAGCGCCATGTACCGGATGGTCATGGCAAGCGCAAGTGCAGTGCCAGTGCCAAGATGGGCAGCATGTGCAGGCAGGTACTTCCGACACTTCCGACCATCGGCCGTCGATCGTTGATGAGATGGCAGCCCGTTCAGTCCCTACCTAGGTACCTTGGGTAAGCTACCGTATCTTACCTACCTAGGTAGGCTACCAGTGGTAGGTAGCAAGAAAGGCCGTTCAACAGATATCATCACGCGAGCCCGCCGTTTCGCTCTGCCTCGTGATCTGCCCCCCCCAGCCCTGCCAAACTCAAAACCCCGTGGCCAGCCCGTCGACCTAGCCCCAAGGCGAACCTTAACCTAACGAGCTGCCGTGCCCGAGATAGCTCACCGTCTTCGGCTGCTTTTTTTTTGTTTTTCGTTTCTGGACGCTGCTCTTGACCTTTCAAGACCTATCCTCCACATCACGCGCCGCGCTCCTAACCCCGCCAGACGAGTCCTCACAACCGATCGCCACAATGGACGAGAAGAAGCAGAACCACCGAGGTACCGCTCGCCCTCTCGCGATCCTCACATCATTCCAGCGCCGCCCACTCACATGCCCCACAGCCTCGTCCCTGTCCGCCTCCTCGCCCTCCTTCTCTTGGGCCAACGAGCGCCCGTCCAACACACCCCAGATCACGACCTCGGACCTCGCCGTCTTCGGTGCTCTGCTGCTCCTGCAGTCGCTCACCTCATACAGCCTCTTCGTCATCTACCGCGGCTACGAGGGCTGGGGTCAGACCAAGGGCGTCGACAGGGCCTGGATCGTCCTCGGCGGCGTGCAGTCTGTCGTCTCGGTCGTGCTCATTGGGAGCTTCTTCCGCCTCGTGTTTGCGCGCTGGAGGAACCGCATCGAGTAGGGCTCGCGGCGACGCCGAACGGACACCACGAAGGAGCTCTGACCCTTTTTCTTTCTCGTTTTTTCTCTTTCCATGCGTGAGGGCGGTAGCGTCAACCTCGGTTGGAGAGCAGCCGGAGGCCAGACGGGAAGATTAATATGTGGTGGCAGGAGGATGAGGTTATGCTCCGGAGACGCATGAGCGTCGCTTGGTCTTCGCTTGGTCTTTCTATTTCTTCGTATACCCTTTTCCTTGGTCGCGTTACTTGGTTCTGTGCTGCAAGCTGATCATGGGCAGCGATGGGATGCACGTTGACAGGCGCGTTTCTACTCTGACTGGTCTTGAGTGCCAAGGTATCGCCATACACTCTTATCAAATTTCTTCATAGCTCAATCTTTGTCAGACACCTCCTTCATACAGGTCGCTTCATATTATGGGGCCCTTCCCCCGAACCATATTTACATCACATGGCCGTATATCTATGCGACATATTCTTCAAAGAAAAAGTAACAAGCCTCTGTTGAGTGGCATTGGTGCCTCAGAAGCGTTCAAGCCTACCAAAACATTTCTTTCGTCGCCGTCAGTCCTTGAACGGGCCTAGAGCCTTCTGATTGCTAATAAGATAAGGACTGCGTCAGCTTGTTAAGGCAACCCAGTAGTGACTCAGAAGAGCATGATGCTTATGAATGCAGACAGATATGTTACGTGTACGAGTCCGATTCAGTACCTCGGTCGTCTCAGCGGTCCTCGCTGTCCACGTCACGGCTCTTCCCGCGGCGTCAGAAGCAACCCTGTTGCAACACGACCACGAAACCATGCCCAAAGAACCGGATAGACGATGGCGTACGAGAGCGCATAGGATGTTCGCCCTGCGGCGCCGACAAGACTCTGCTTGGGACAAGAAATTTTTGTCCCTACTATCAGCAGACACCATACCATCAGACAGATTCCACAGTTGAGCTTTACGGCAGAGGACCGGAAACTTCCGCTTCACGCGCCAAGACGTCTTCGTCGACGGGCTGATGCGGAGAATCCCATTGCTTTAGCTGTGGATACGCCCCAGAGCAGGACACAAATGTCGATGAGCGCTCCAACAAGATGAGGAGGAAGTCTCCGTGGCTCAAAATATTCACCTAGATCGAAATAAAGCTCGACACAGGGCCGGATCGTCTCCGTTTACTGAGCATGCCCAAGCTACAAATACTCACGGGTCAAATTGATTGGCCGACGTCATGGCTGTCATCAGGTTGCATTAGCGCCGTGAGTTCAGCGACATGCTATAAACGCCATCGGAGGGGTAGCGCTTTGTGAACCTGGGTGGAGAAGGGGTTATGACCGGAGTTAAGGAGCTTCAATGTCATCAAGTCGCTTTGGTAGCATCAAGTTGCAATGGGGAGCATTCAGGACACATCGATGGCAGGTATAAAGATGGTCACTTTTGGAATTCGAGGAGCTTCATAGCCACAGTAATCCTCACTCAGAGTTCACTTACTACACTCCTATACCCACTTCAAAGATGTCCTTCTTTGCTTCACCCTCCAAACCCAAGACTTCCCTCGGCTGGCATCGCCCCTTGAGCCCTACAGCCGGCGTCAAGGTCAGCCCGATCGCCCTGGGCGGCATCTCCATCGGAAACTCATGGAGCGAGCTCTTCGGCACGAGCACCGACGCGTTTGGCCTTCTCGACGCCTTCTACGATCTCGGCGGCAACTTCATCGACACGGCAAGCAGCTACAATGGAGAAGAGTCAGAACAGCTCATTGGTGAATGGATGGAGAAGCGTGGCGTGCGCGACCAGATGGTCATCGCGACCAAGTTTACGTCCGTATACCGATACCACAACCGCGAGGGCGAGCCGATACAGAGCAACTTTACCGGCGCATCGGCCAAGAGCATGCACCTCTCGGTCAAGGCCAGCCTGAAGAAGCTGCGGACTGACTACATTGACGTGCTGTACTTGCACTGGTGGGACTTTTCGACGTCGGTCGAGGAGGTCATGACGCACCTGCACGCCCTCGTCATGGCGAGGCAGGTGCTGTATCTGGGCGTATCGGACACGCCGGCGTGGATCGTCGTCAAGGCCAACGAGTTTGCGCGCCGCAACGGGCTGACGCCCTTCTCCGTGTACCAGGGCCGCTGGAATGCGGCGTTCCGCGACATGGAGGCCGAGATCATCCCCATGTGCGAAGACCAGGGCATGGGCATCGTGTCCTGGGCGTCGCTGGGCGGCGGACAGCTGACGACGGCGGCACAGCGCCAGGCCATGGCCGACGACGACGAGGCGCCCAAGGGCTACGGCCCCAATAGCTTCGACGTGCCCGTGTCCGAAGTCATCGAGCGCTTGGCCCGGGAGAAGAACGTCACCTTCCAGCAGGTCGCGCTGGCCTACCTCTTCCACCAGTCGACCTACGTTTTCCCCATTGTGGGCGTGCAGTCGGTCGAGCATATCAAGGCCATCCCTGCCGCGATCGAGGTCGAGCTGTCCAAGGAGGATATCGGGGACTTACACGCTGCCGCGGCCTTTAACCCGCTGTTCCCGAACACGTTCCTCTTTGACAAGGATCCTTACAGCACCAAGCTCACTTTTGCCCACCAAACTCATTTGCAGATGACGACTTGGTTGGATGCACCCTCCAAGGATGATGTACGTTATACTTCCCCTTTGAGCATGAGATTGTTGTTGACCAGATAGAAATTCGTGGCAAGGCATCGATGAGTACAGACCGGCTGTAGTTGTGGGGCTTGAATGAGGCAAATAGCAGGCTTGGAATTCGATGACATGACCTTTGGATATAGAAATGCCGTGATGTTCATAATTTGATCAATATTTCGTATCAAAACTGATGCCCCTGGCTGGCCCTCGGCACGTACCGACAGGCATGGACCGACGCTACTGCAACACCGATTGCTGTGACGGGCATGCCGTAGCGCGCCAAACCCCGCATGAATCGCTCACTAACTCCGTACGAAGCGCTGAGCGGTGCGAATGTGGGATAGGATGGTCTTCCATGGGCATCCCCGGACCTTCTCCTTCTTGTCACTCATACCTAGCAATCTACAACGATGGCCGCAAACACGAGCTCAGCAACACCACCCAGTGATGAAGGCCTCTTCATGATCGACGCAAGGGCGCCTGGCGTGATCCCAATTCTGCCCCAGCGGAATCACCTCTGCAACGTCGAAGAGGACTGGTCAGGCGTCACGGCACAAGCCAAGCGCCGCCGCCTTCAGAACCGCATCAACCAGCGCGCACGGCGACAGAAGCTCAAGGAGGAGGAGAAGAAGCAGGCGGCCACCCAGACTCCAAGTCTCGACAGCGACATACAGGAAATCCCTCGCAACGCCGTTAGAACACTACGCAAAACGTTACCGGCCCCAGCCTGCATGTTGGGCAAGGCGGAGAACCGCGAAATGCTCACGAGGTTCGCCGAGCTTGCACGCAACGACTTCCTCGGAGCGCCCAACATGATCCACCTCGAGGACACGGTGCGATGCAACGTCTTCCTGGCCATGGCGCGCGTCACGACGATTCTCAGTTTCGATGACAGCTGGCTTGACGACGACTCCATCTCGCCGTACAACATGCAAGGGCCGCGGACGTGGTCGCTGGACGCAATGCCCGCAAATCTGTGGCCGACGGTGCTGCAGCTGGCGGTGGAACACCACCCCTGGATTGATCTGTTTCCCTGCCCGCGGATGCGCGATAATTTCCTGCGGACTATACAAGCCCACGGCGAGGATGCGGTCGACGAGGACGAACTGTGTCGGGACTATGTGGATGCAGCAGGAGCTAAGAGGGGGTTGGAGGATGGTGCGTCTGCCATTGTGTGGTCCGATCCGTGGTCGCCCCATGGGTGGGAGCTTACGGCGGGCTTTGTGAAGAAGTGGGCGTGGTTGCTATACGGGTGTGTTGAGCTACAGGCGGGCACGAATGCCTGGAGGACGCGACGGGGGCTCGAGAGACTGCGATTCCCAGGGTGCTGAATTATTCGTGAGAGTCGGCCGGTGTATGAGTTATGGGTGCTTAAGAGCTTCTTATTCTGATCTCGCGCTAGCAAAGTTGAATATGTCTGAACAAACGAAACGACAAACAATCAGGTTATCTCTATTGTAACTCTAAGATGTATTTCTCTGTCCTCAAGTGATGTTTATCAATGGCCTGTAGCATCTATCTTGTTTGCAAAGTGGTCTAGTTCGATATGTACCTGACAATGCGGAAAACTATAAGCCGATGTCGGCAGTTTCTTCGAAATACCTGTTCTTGTCAACATTGTCATTCAAGTACACGGGTCATGTGGACGTGGAAAGCATGACGGCTGACGAGTTTTGTGCTTGCCTCTACGTCCAGAACTGGAGCCTCGGAGGTCGCCTTGTAAATTCTCTGGGGTACGACTCATGCCTCAATGATGAAATGGGATCTCTTGGAACAAAAGAATCAATGATGAGCTGAAGTGCCAACGACTTAGCAGGCTTTTCTCCTGCGTCGCGAACGACGGCTTTCAACAGCAATCTAGCTTTTAGGAGCAGCTGAAAAGACGGCTCCAAAGCGATGTGTTTCCCATAGCTCATGGGTGCGGGCAGTGTCAGGACATGGACTATCAAGTCGTAGCGTCATGGCACGAGCGGCGGCCACATGTGCGATGCCATCGACCACGTTCAAATTTCAGGTTGGAGCAACATGAAAATCATAGACTGGCTCTTACAACCACAGTCCTGGGTGTCTGAGATCATTTTTCTTGGTGGCAGGGAAACTGACTGCCTGTTCACTAGAGGCCTGAGTCAAGGCCCCCAGCGATGAGTTCTCACCATCAAGAAGCTTTGCCTTCGGAGGCGTTGTATGGTGATTACTGTCGCAATACATCCTGGGATTTTGACGTCCAGATGACAAAAAAAGCCGAGCCAAAAAGACGGGTCCCAACCGCCTTGGCGCCGGCACCCGGACTCTCGGCACCGCGGCAGACGTCACCTTTCCAAGCTATTGTCTCGTCAATACAGCCCAATCCCCGGCGCCTCTCCAACCTAAACTGGGGACGCAAAGTGCTTGGCCGTTGCATTCTCAGCAGAACTGTGGGCCTCCGATGTCATTAGCCAAGACTACGCGCGGTCGCTCGACTCAAGGCCCTTCAATCTTGTCAAGCTTGGTATGGCAGGGAAGAAACCAGTATGGCGGGCGGAGAAGTTTATAGGCAATGGTAACCCTTCACCTACTGGCCGTCTTGGTGGCGCATCTGAACAGGTCCCAACCACTTCCCTCGATATCACCGCGTGGCGTCCCCATAGCATTGGCCACGATTCGATATCGGAAATCGAATCCTTACCAGCGTGGACTTGAACAGCAACAGTGCAAAAGCATCGATTCTTCGCCCTCAAAATGCTTCGCGGTGACGGTACAGAGAAGGATCCCGGGGCGCACGATCGGGAAGATGCGAATGTGACAACAACTGGCTATGGAGAGACAATTAAACGGGACAGACTTGCCGCACAAGATCGCGATCAAGACACCCTGAATGGGCCGGCCAGTTCCGCCGATGCCGATCTCGAGAGTGGCAAGGACTCCTCACGGAAAGCCGACCAGAAGGACCGCAAGCCATTTTTCAACCGTCCCAAAGAGCCTCTGTCATTCAGCGAGCGCGCCATGCGCGTTACTTGGGCGTGGTTTCCTACAACAATGTCGACGGGCTCCCTGGCCTCTCTCATCAGCGTCCAACCTTATACGTTCCCCGGCTTGACGGCCATTGGCAAAATATTCTTCATCACAACCCTCGTCCTCTTCGTCTGCTTTACCGTTCTTATCGCCATTCGCTTCACCTTCAAGCCCCGAGCGCTGACCACGTCACTCCACCATCCCTCCGAGTCATTCTTCTTCGGGTCATTCTGGGTCTCGATTGCCCTGATTCTGAACGGAGCAACAGTCTACGGCGTCCCGGACTCGGGGCCGTGGCTGGTATCGGCTCTAAGGGTGGTGTTCTGGATATATATGGCGTGTGCTCTTATCGTAGCCGTATTTGAGTATCACGTCATTTTCGAGGTTGAGAAGTTGGCACTCTCGGATGCCGTCCCAGCTTGGATTCTTCCCGCATACCCCTTTCTCATCTCTGGTACCCTGGCCGCAAATATTGCCGAGACACAGGACCAAAACAGCGCCGTGCAAATCATCGTCGCAGGTATAATGGGCCAGGGCCTCGGCTGGATTCTCGCCATCTTCATCTACGTCGTCTATCTCACTCGCCTCATCGCGAACAACATGCCTCCGCCATCGACTCGGCCAGGCATGTACGTCTCCGTTGGCCCTGCGGCGTACACTTGCAGCGGGCTCATCGGCCTTGGAAAGCAAGCGCAGACTGCTCTGCCCGACGGCTTTCTGGGTGTCACGAATATCGATGTCGGTGACGTGTGGCGGTCCTGCTCCGTCGCTGCGGCGATGTTTGTCTGGCTTGTCGCCCTATGGTTCTCCGCACTTACATCCGTATCTATTATTCGCGTTGTCCGTCGAATGAACTTCACATTGCAGTGGTGGGCCTTTGTTTTTCCGAATGCTGGCCTCGCCATCGCGTCCATTCAGTTGGGCGATTCTCTCGAGAGCACTGGTCTCCGTGCATTTGGTTCGGCATTGACTGTCGTGCTGGTTGCTCTTTGGCTGCTTTGCGCCTTCTGCCATATCAGAGCTCTGTGGAACCGGGACTTGCTTGCAGTAGGGAAGGACCTGGGCGTTGAGGAGGTCAACCGAAGGCATGACGAGAAGAAGCTTGCTGGAAGGTGGACTGAGGGCGAGGTCAGGCCACCAAGGTCAGAAGGCCCTTGATTTTCGTTATTCATATTGAAGTATCACTCAATACGTGTTGTGTTTCAAAGCCTTGCCGCCACAAATTGATGGAAATTCAAGTCATACGCAAGCAAATTCCCTAACCGTTCACCTGTTTCTGCGTTATAGTTGTCCCCTTCAGGAGATCTGCGCAGGGGATGTATGCATGCATGACAGAAGCATGTTACTCACACTTGCTAGTCGTCCGAATGAATACCAATCGTAGACTTCATATTTCACTGAAAGAGTGCATCAGAGTCGTCGTAATTAGAATTGTTTATCCACTCGCACTGTCGGATCGCTTGTTCAGCAACGGGAATCTGGCGGGGACGGTGACTGACCTTTGACTCCATCCTCAATTTCAGTCTCTCAATCCAAGCACTCTAAAGCAGAACGAATAAAATGTCTGACTTAGAATTTCTTTCCACTGGCTAGACAGGCCATCTACTCTACTTTGCTACCGTACTACTCCCATTCAAGAATGATGCTGTCCCAAAGGAATCCCCTCCACTTAGTGTAACGCGTCACACTGAAGCCCACCTTGTTCACACCTTCGACCAGAACACCCGGTTCAACTCTGTACTGAATGAACCGCCACTCTCCAGATGTCTTTCCAGAACGGTAAAGCGCCGGATCGCTAGTGAGGTTGTCCTTGCTCAAGGTACCGTAGTCCTGGCCATTCACATCGACGTTGAGCGCTCCGCTCTGAGAGCAACCAGCCAGAGACACACTCAGTATCGCTGTCTTGTTGGTCGCGATATCCGCAGCCGAGACTTCAAACTCGATGGTCCACTTTCCAATGGCCGATGAAGCATAGTACCAGTCCGAAGTCTTTGACTTGCCAACGATGAATGTAAGGTTGGCAGGACTGTCCTCAGTGACGCCGTGCTGGTAAGGCAGGCCCCCGTTTTTGAAGCCAAGGGCCTTCTTATCAAATTCGCCGACTTGGAAGATTCGCTTCGCGCGATCCGCCACGTTCCATTTCAGGCGACCGAGGATGAGGGTCTTGTCCTTAGTTACGGTAATGCCAGACTTTGTAAAGTTGGTGTACACGTCGGCCAGTCTGTTACCATTCGAGTACGCAATAAGGCCATAGGAGCCAGTGCGTACGTCATCAAAGGAGAAGCGTCCCTTATCGTTGGTGTAAGTCGTGTAGTAGTAGTTGGTCCCTTGGATCGAGGGACGGATTGACGTGTCACTGTCACCGAGGAAGACGGCAGCCTTCGATGCGGGGCGGCCGTCGGACAGTAGCAGAGTACCCTCGATGCCGCCCCTCTGGTGGTAGGCGGCATCGTCAAGCCATTTGTAGGGGAAGTGCTTCAGCTCCTTGGCACGCTTCTTCTGGACATCTGGGATGCTTCCGTTGTTCTGACCCAGTCAATTTGAGTTAACCGAGAGTGGTGTGTCGGATCACTCACCAGGTACCAAAGCCAGGGACCCCAGACCTTACCCACGGGCTGAGTTGTCTTTTGACCGACACGGAAATGCGACGTATCTTGCACGACGTTCAGCTGAACAGCATCGCCGGTCTTGCTCTCGCGATGCACGGTGAGTGTCTGGCTGAGATGTCACTGATAGTAGTATTCGGTGGAGGGTGATCTACCAGGACCAACCACGAGATCCGTAGACACCATAAGAGTCGCGGTCTCTTGACGGCGTGGACCAGTCGTACTGGTGGATGATGACCGGCTGCAAGCTGCAAGTCTCATCCTGGAACATGGTCGACTTTGCATACAGGATCGAAATCGGCAAGGGCTCATCCTTGAGATGAGTGCGGCCATGGGTGAAGTACTCCGGCGCCAGCCGCCAGAGTGTTCGCAAAATGCTGATGTTCGGCAGGGCACGGTTGACAAAATACTGGTACGCGCCGGAGAGGTCGTCAAAGATGACCCAGTGAAGATCTCCAGCGGGCGCAGTGAAGCTGACGTCGATGAAGTGTGTACCACGTGCAGCAATCGTCGCGTTGGTGTAACGGAGGTTGGATTCCCCGTCTGTCGACTGCCCTGTTAGCTCCGGCTTAGGCACTTGGTGGCCAAGAAAATAATTACATACCATAACCAGTGTAGTGGCCTACGGCGGAACCGACAAGATCTGCGCCAGGGACACCCTGCCAGAAGAGCTTTGTCGCGTAGACCGGACCTTGTGTAACATTCCAGAAATCGTTACCAATAACCCAAGTGCCGTCGTTCAAGGACTCCAGGAATGGACCCTTGCCTGCAACGGCGGCAAGGGATCCGGCCAGCGCCCACAGGGAAAGCTTCGAGGTGTACATCGTTCTACAGAACTTGATCACTGTGATTGAGCCTGTTCGACGCCTCTTGGGATAGTCTACGAGCCAAGATCCGATCCTTTATACCCATATCAGGAGCTGCCGAAGGCGATGGCATTTGTTGTCTGCTCGGTGTACGATGTCGCGAGGACTTCCCAGAGTGCCGAGAACCGGGAATGGCATCATCGGGCGAAGACCTGGTTGGCTGCTCTAGCCTTTAGCCCAACGCAATGATTGCACATCCTGCATCAACTGCGAATTGCCGCTTTTCGAGCAGGGATTCAATCGGAATTCCAGTGCATTGCGCCATATCAGTGGAGAGAGGGGGCCCCCAAAAAATATTGCGTGCGGTCTGCTATCAGTGCCTGCGATGGCGTCAGGATACCCTCGTGAAGTCCCAACCGAGGTACGCAATCAAAGGACGCGCATTCGCGCAAGTTCGGAGATAGATGGCTGATGATGTTATTTTGGCGGAAGTGCGCTTTTGATATCTGTTCAATCCCCTCTACATAATGACCAATGCTAGAGGCATTTCTTATCGTGTCTGCTAGAAAGCGACGGCGCCTCTCCTATTACGAGTTGCAAGAGGTGTCGCTAGAAGCCTTACGAAGTTTCAAGATGTGCATGTTGGTTTTATGAACTGTCAATTCAATCCTCATGGTTCCTTTTCCCTCCAATTTATTCGCTATTCGTCTCAGAACGAAGGCCAGAACGAGACAGACTCTCCTTCGAACACAAACACAGTCATGTTCTTAGAGGTGAAATATGAACAGATGATGCCAAGTCGGAATCTTGTTCAGCTATTGGCCAAAAGCTTGAGGCTCTTAGGGCTGTCAGCTCGTGCAACACAACAGCTGAAGTGCCGTGGGCGGCAGTGGGTGGCACATGGTCAGGAAGCTTGCTGGTGATTGGATGAAGATCAGATGTATGACAATCCACAAGTCTAGTGAGTTTGCTGGCCGGACTTGTGATCCGAGAAAGGGCCAAAGTTGTTGGCTGTAAGCGAGCCAATCGAGCTGTCAGATGGCGTGGAAGCAAGCCGTAAGTAGGTAAGAATGACCCTTTCCAACTAGCTTAGAGGCTCAAGTCGTTATAATGATACAATTGCTGCAAATAATCGAAGTACGCAGCCTGGGATGAGCTACCACTCATGTTTTCAATACTTCGTATGACGCCCAGTCAAATAATTCAAAAGCAGCACCATGCATGTGTCATGAGGGCTGCTGGGTACAATGGTTGAAAGTATATTGCCTCAGCTTTCTATGCGCAAAGTCTGAAAACAGGAATCGAAAGCCTCGTTATTCTGTACTGTAGAACCTTCAGACTTCAAATAGGCTACGTATCGTACCATGCCTCGCTAGTGCGGCTTGGCGCCGATGCATGAGTAGGCAACGGCCTCGAGTGGCACCGTGATGAAAAGAAACCCGGGGAGATTTATCAATCAAGACATGAAGTCCGGGGCCGTTACTTCTTGATGTAGGTGCCAACGATGAAGCGGAAGGTGACGGTCCGAACCGCGGGGATTATGGCGCCGCTGCCAGTGCATAGCCTCCACCTGCAGATCTACCTGACAAGGACCGTTGAAAAGCCACCACATCGCTATATCCTGGACGATGGACGTTCAGCTTCCGAGAAAATGTGCATTTATAAGTGATGAACGTCCTGTTCCCCCTTGGCTTTTTTCCGATCCTCGGTACCAGACTTTAGAATCTCTGTTCCAATCAACTGACAAGCCTGGGCTGATCAATTCGCCTCGCCACGATGCTTTCACGCGTGTACATGCTTTTCCTCGCCTTCTGCCAGCTCTGTCTGGCAGCGGAGATCGTTCCTCGAGCGACTTTCTCCGAGGTGACTGGCTTCGGTGCCAACCCGACGAATACCAAGATGTACCTATGGGTCCCCAACAACCTTGCGCCCAACCCCGCCATCGTCGTCGGAATTCACTGGTGCTCAGGCAATGCGCAGGCCTACTATCAAGGCTCCAACTGGGCTCGTCTCTCTGAGACTTATGGCTATATCGTCATCTACCCGAGCACCGCATACACTGCAAGCAACTGCTGGGATGTCTCGTCGCAGAAGACGCTGACTCGAGGAGCTGGCGGTAACAGTGACTCGATCGCCAACATGGTCAAGTACGTCACCGCTCAATATGGTGCTGACGCCAGCCGAGTGTTTGTGACTGGCATTTCGTCCGGAGCTATGATGACGGTGAGTTCTCCGCCAGCCACCCTGATTAACGGGTAGATTTCGTGAGCTGTTCCCTGTGAAATTATTGAACGCTGATCATATGAAGAACGTTATGGCTGCCACATACCCCGACCTTTTCCAGGCTGGTATTGCTTATGCTGGCGTCCCCGCCGGCTGCTTCTCTTACGGCACCACCGAAGCGGGCTGGAACAGCACTTGTGCGAACGGCCAGTCCATCACAACTCCGGAGCACTAGGCCGCCATCGCTCGTGCTATGGCGCCTGGTTACACTGGCCGTCGCCCGCGCATGCAGGTTTATCACGGTGACCAGGACGCGGTGGTGTTTCCCCAGAACTACTACGAGACCATCAAGCAGTGGGCTGGTATCTTTGGATACTCGACAACCCCCCAACAGACTATTTCTAACTTCCCGCGGAGCCCCTACAACAAATACGTCTTCGGTCCCAACCTGGAGGTATACCTCCCTGTACTCGACAATCATCACTTTCGGATACAAGCTGACAGGAAGCATAGGGAATCCTTGGTGTCGGTGTCAGCCACAGCATTGATGTGTTTTTCGATGAGGATCTGAAATGGTTTGGTTTCACGGTAGGTTTGGCCCGTCTCAAGTGATCCTCAGTCACTCATAGCAGCCTCAAGACCCCCGCGACATCGACAGCAGGCCCTACAAGCACAACGAGGTCGACGACCACGTCGACAGTGGCCCCACCAGTGCCGACCACCATTGCCACCCTCACTACCGCCGTCACGACGACAGCTCGGCCGACCACTACGGCCTCCGGGCAAGCACCTCAAAAGCGCTGTAAGCAACCTCACTCCCTGTCCCGGGTGTCTGTTGGAGTAGAAATGCTGACAGTTTTACTACCACACAGGGGGCCAGTGCGGTGGCCAGAACTGGAGCGGCCCAACAGTTGTAAGTATTCTCTTGATGTTGCTGTTTGCGATTGGTGACAGCGTGGCTAATTCATGAACAGTGCGAAAGCCCTTGGACTTGCCAGGTCCAGAACAACTGTAAGATTATTCGATGGCTGAGGTTGACTCGTTTGCTGATTACTTGTGTGATTTTAGGGTTCCACCAGTGCCTTTAAAGATATCCATAGTGACATATCAAAGCGACGATCTATTGTAATGGATATGTCCTAGGCCACTACTACTTAGGTTATCGTTAAACACTCTAAAGGTCACAAAACCTTCTGATATGGCATCAAGTACCGATAGTCTTACACCAGTCATGTTGAAAAAACGAGACTAGATTTAGTTTTCTCCAGCCTAGAATGAAAAGTCTACCGAGGGCCATCCCGTGCCGAAGAATTCATCGTTGCTGTCCAGCCCACCGGCCAAAAAGTCGTCGAGCCACCCGGTCTCGGTAAGGGGGGAAGAGAAAAAGGTCAGACCCGGGAAGTCCCACTCAAAGACGAACTGCTCTGGAACAAAAGACTCGAGCTCTGTCTGCCCGTCGGCTCGGCTTTGCTCCATTTGTATAGTGGCCGGGAGCGAAGGCTCCCCTGTTCGTGGACCACCGTCCTTTCGCAGAGCGTGATGATACTTCTCGATGCTGGCTTGAACGAGCTGCAGGTACAGGCTGCTCGCACTTGCCTTGCTCCCTTCACCACGGCCACCATTGGCATTCCTTAGTTCGCCTAGAAGGATTCTCCCCTTTTCAACCAAATCCTGACTTGATTGTTGATCTCCATCATCGGGGAGCAAGAGAGACAACTTCAGTAGCAAGAGAAAGCAGAAAGCATTCTTCGCCCAGACGAAATCCATTGCAAAACGCAGCCCGGAGAGGTAGTGGCGGGGCTCCATCAGGATGACTTCGAGATGCTGCTTGAGCGAAGCCTTCGCCATCAGAAGAATCGTTTTCTGGGTTTGAGACATGGCGCGCACATTCTCGACCCCTGATGCGCGGACAGCGCGGCAGAGTGCCATACTATCGGCCCAGTGACGCTGAACGATGAGGTTTGGCTGAAGCCAGGGCATCTGGGGCCTACGCTGCTCATAGATGCGCGTCCAATCATTGAACCAAACCTCAATATCAATCTTGGCATCTCGCACCATCTCCATGATATCTTCTTCGTCGGCGTCGGCGCATTGCGAGAGACTGTTGTATATATTTGCCCGGAGGGCGTTGAGCTCCACTTGTGAAAACAAATAGAGATCCATGTCGTTTGAGCAGGGGCTTTCCAACAGGATCCTGGACCTTCGAGCAGCACCTCGGAACCGGAACGCCGGGAGATCACCAGCATCAACATGGAGAATGTGGCCCATGACTAACAGGTGGAGCCACGTCCGGGCCTTACGCATAAGAACAACATCGGCCTGCGATGGATCGTCAATCGTGTCCATACGCGGGGTGTTCTTGGCTACGCAGTGAGCGCTCATCGCGTCGTAGGCTTCAGGCAGGCCCACTTCGAAGGCCATGCGCGTCGCGATGGCGATTAACAGAGAGCGCTCGTTCACATAGCAGGCTCGGACAAGGAGTGCTTGTATCGTTTCTGGTGTGGCCTCTGTTGGTGTGGTGATCGCAGCGTTCAGCATTCGTTGGGTCTGAAAACTGAGGACATGCCATTGACGCGAGTCTGCTCCATTGATCACTCGGCAGCCTACGGAGCAGATGGCACCGAACAACAGACTGCTTCGAGAACGAATGGATTCCATCGAGTCGAATCGGGGATCAAACACAGGGACGAACCGGTCGCATCCAGAGAAGAAGGCTGCCCAATATGAAGTGGCATCCTGGTCCGTAAGTAGGCCTGCTTCAACCAAGTCGGGTATAGCGACCGCGCCCATCTCGAAATGTGTGCGCTTTCTCTTATGCCCCTGCGTTAGAGGCGGTTGTAAGAGCGACACATTGGGGGATCCAGAGCTCGAACCTGTTGGTTGACGCGGTAAACTTCTCAGGGTTGGGGGATTAATAACGGTTGCGGGAGACGTGTGCGTGCTGATGGGATTCTCGGGACCTCTGACCTGATCTGGCGATCGATACTGGATGGGCATCTGCGTAGCCGAGGGGGAGGACTGAGATGCTGGAATGGCTTGCCATATGCCCGCTTCCGGTCGTTTCTCGAGTCTTTCCTTCAACGACCCGATCTCCCTCTCCAGGTCTTCGATCCTTCTACTCGGAAATGCCCCTGTCAGCTCGCTTCTCCATTTCCAACAGCATTTTGTCCGGCGACAATATGATCTCAACGTACATTTCGTTCGCGTCCTTTGGCCGCTCAGTGAACGTACAGACCTTTCGAAGGCTGTGGCATCTGTCACATTCGTCAGCCAGTCAGAAAGAGATGATCGAGTTGGGATGGTCCGAACCGTGAGCAGGGGCGTTGCCCATCGCATTTCACCTTATATTTAATTAGTAAAACTTTCGAAGAATCAATACGGAATCGTACCTTGGATTGGCGACATGCACCGCAGGCTTTCTATGAAGACCCATGTCAGTTCGCTCCACCATCCTGATGTCGTGCTCCAAAGCCTACGCTCGTGGAGTATGGCTCAACAGTCGCGAGAGCCTTACCGGAATGCGCTTCTTTCTAGGCCGTCGAGATGATTCCCCATCTGTGAGCTCATCAGCTTCCATGGTGGCCGGCGCGGCGCCATGGAGACAGCACTGTGGTATGTGGTGTCTGGATGAGGATGGAAATTCTCAGCCCAGCGGACAAGACCGAACCGAACCAGGTTACCCCGCGTCGCGGTCGATGATGTGGGTCCTGGCTCCAGCACCTGGAGGCTGGAGATGGAGAATTGTACCCCTAGAATACAGTGACAAAGGTGGTTGAGCGGCCATGTTCTTCAGTGCCCATGTCAGGGAGAGCTCAAGAAACGCTGACCGCCGTCGCATTGGCGAGCGGGCCAGCAAGGTAGCTTGTCCAAATCGCCGGGCATCATCTCCTGGCCGACGTTCCCTCGTTTCTGCCGATGCCAAATGGAGACTGTCAAGAGGAACAAGTCGATCTGACAGCGAAGAGCACTGAAATGCATGCCACTGCTACCCATCAAGATAAGCCAACTCATCGTCATCGCGCCGCCTTGCCGTTCCCCCACCGGGCCGCCATATTACCCCACGTTCGACACCGAACCCTCTCCTGGCGGAAAATGAACCGATTCATCTCGATTGCATCACTCAATCATGTACGACAACACCAGGACTGGGCCAACTCTTTGGCAGCTTTGAGCTTTGAGCTGCCATGTTTGAGACGCAGGTCCAATTTTTTTGGCTTTATCAGACTCTCTTCCTCAAACAAACATCCTTCCATTCGCACTCCAATCCAGCATCTGACCACTCAACACCTGACAGCATACTAGCCTTGCTGCCTCGTCCGCTTGCTTCGCTTTCTTCTCCATTCTTGTTCAATTCGAAAGCGGTTGGCTGTCGTAACAGGCAGAAAATGTCTTCGCCTTGCGAAGACGCCACCACAGACGAGCCTTCGTATGAGATTGGGAGCTGGTCCATGGGAGATGACGGCTTCGACCTTGGTGTCCGTATGAATGGTAAGCGATTCAGGATCGCCGTATGGGCGGACTACTTCAAGGACTCCCCCTCAGCCACCGCAGCCTTTCAAAAGGCCCTCGCCATCATGAATGACGGCGACGATAGCTGTGAGGAGCTCTGGGACTACCTCGAGTGGATCGTGGACTTTTTCTTGCCCCAGTTTCAAAGCCTCGCGCCTCCGGTAGTGCACGCTGGAATTTTAACACTAGCCCACCTTGCCGTCCGGGAATCCTTTCGAATGCGAGTTCCATGTGATCTAGAGAGCTGTTCCTGGCCTTGTACTCGACTGGTAGAAGAGACTTGAAGAATCGATGCCCGTA